ACCGCACCCCACATCGTGCACAAACCTTCTCGCTTCTCGGCTCGAATGCACCATGGCCCGGTATATAAACCCATCGCCCGACCGCGCCCTCTCGCTCCTTGATCCCTCTCTGCGGTCCAGGTCTGCAAGGTCGACAAGATGGCCCTCGTCCTCACCCCACGCCTCGCCGCCTTGTGCGCCCTCCTCCTCCTCGCCGTCTCGGGAGAGGCCCAGTCGTCCCCCGCCATCACGACGACGGCCTCTGCGCCAGTCTCTGTCCCGACCACCGTCGTCGCGACGGACCCGGCCTCCACCGTCTCCGCCTCGCTGTCGATTCCGTCGGCCAGTGCACCGTCCAGCAGCCTGCTCTCCACCTTGTCCAGCCTGCTCTCCACCTTGTCCAGCCTGTCCTCTGCCGAGTCCACCGTCGTCTCGTCTACGCTGTCTTCGGTGACTGCGTCCTCGTCCGTGCTCTCTGTGCCTACTTCCACAGTGACCGCGTCGGTATCCTCTGTGTCTGCTTCGACAGTGACCGCGTCCGCGTCCCTCTCTACCGGGACTGGACCCCCCATCGAAACTTGTGAGTGCTCCTATCCGTTCCTTTATTCCTTTCGCGCTCCTAGTCTCGTCCAAGACGCGTGTCCTCTTCTCCCAACGCGAAAAACGCGTATCCAGACGCGTTTTTCTTCCCCCGAATCGCGGGGTATCCAGACGCCCTCCCACGTTCGCGCCGCGTATGACATCTGACGTCGGAGCGCATGTCCGCGATGAGCGCGCCCCACTACGCAAACGCATATACCCACCGTGCTCGCCATACGGTCCGTACGGCATCCTACCAAACGTGCCGCCGTATCAGAAGGCGTGTTTTCGTGCCAGAAATACTCTGGCAGATGAGCGCGTGCCGCCTCACTTGCACGACGGGCATTCCGATATTTTTGACGGGTGAAAAGGCTTGCAAAATCGGCCGCAGGAGGTAATCCTTTTCGCCCAAAGGACCCTTTTGGACGACTCTTCTACGACTTTTGGACAGTCACCTGACCTGGGATGCCTTGTGCAGCCAGATTCGGCCGCCTTTTCTCCCGTACAAAATATCAGGATGCCCGCCGTGTTGGCCCTTCTTCTCCTATCTTTCTTTTGCATTGGCTTTGTGCGTCATCGTCGGCCTTTCCGACGTCTTTGGCCATGTGCGCTCCTACTAGTCACGGCGCGTTGGCTGCCGTGTCCATGCCGTCGTAGGGCGGACCGAGCCGGTGGATATATGCGGAGTTCCGTCCTCCGTCCCGTTGGGCAGGACAGACTGTCCTTGCGTGGCCCTCAAGAATACATGCGCCGTCCTCCCGTGCTTCGAGGAAGTTGAACGTGCGTCATGAGGGCACGAACTTACTTCCAACCCCCTTTTCCCAAAGATCATCTCGTTACTTCCTACATCTCGGATCTCGTGTCTCTGCCGTCGTTGGGCGGGCCGAGCCGGTGCATATGTGCGGAGTTCCGTCCTTCGTCCCGTTGGGCAGGACGAGTTGACCTTGCTTGGCCCTCGAAAATCCATGCGCCGTCCTCTTCGTGCTTCGAGGAAGTCGAACGAGCGTCATGAGAGCACCAACTCACTTGCAACTCCGTTTTCCCGAGAGATCGTCTCGTTACTTCCTACATCTCCGTGTTCTGAGAAGCTCGGCATGGTCGCAAGCAATCATCCTACCTGTTCGTCTCGACGTTATGCTCATCCGACTGACACTCCCTATCTCCAGCGAGTGTCACGATCCCGCTGTCGTCGTACCCGTTCACGTCCTTCCCGGTTCCCTCGGCATCGCCAGTCCCCGGTGTCTTCCCCTCCACCTCGCCGAACTCACCGCCGCCTCCCGGATCCGAACTCATCCCCGACTTCGCGCCTGCTTGGGCCAAGGCGCACGCGCTCGCCAAAAAACGCATCTCTGGGTGGACGCTCGAGCAGAAGGTCAATGTCACTACTGGTGTGGGTTGGATGGGTGGGCTCTGCGTCGGGAACATCCCCGCCATCGCGGACTGGCCCGGCCTGTGTCTCGAAGACTCCCCTCTCGGTGTCCGCTTCGCGGACTTTGCCACTGCGTTCCCGGCGGGCGTCACGGTCGCGTCTACCTGGAACCGCAAGCTCATGCGGATGCGTGGCCAGGCGATGGGCGCGGAGTTCAAGGGCAAGGGTGTGCATGTCGCGCTTGGACCCATGATGAACATGGGCCGTATCGCCCAAGGTGGACGTAACTGGGAGGGCTTCGGTGCCGATCCGTTCCTCACGGGCGAGGCTGCGTACGAGACCGTCTTAGGTCTCCAGGACGGCGGTGTGCAGGCGTGCGCCAAGCACTACATTAACAAGTACGTCTATTCGCCAGTAGCCGCGCACGACACATGCTGATCACCCCTCGATGTTGGCAGCGAACAAGAGCACCGCCGTCAGCAAGAGTCATCCAACGTCGACGACCGGACAGAACACGAGATCTACGTACATCCGTTCATGCGCTCCGTGATGGCGGGTGTTGCTAGCGTCATGTGCAGTTACAGTACGTGTTTGTGTGCTCCATCCATACTTCTCCGCCGCTCATGGTTCTTAACAGACCAAGTGAACGCTACTTGGGCGTGCGAGGATGACCGGACGCTCAACCAGATCCTCAAAGGAGAGCTCGGCTTCCAGGGCTATGTGATGTCGGATTGGGGTGCGCACCATTCCACCCTCGCTGCAGTCGGGGGCTTGGATGTGAGTCTTCGAACATGCATCCCCCCTTCTTCTATGTCTCGCTCACGATCGCTCTCGTGCAGATGTCCATGCCTGGCGACATTGAGTTCAGTTCGCACACGAGCTGGTTCGGCGCGAACCTCACGGCATACGTGCAAAACGGCACCATCGCCGAGTCCCGCGTCAACGACATGGCTGAGCGTGTCCTCGCTGCGTGGTACTTGCTGGATCAGGACAAGAATTATCCCGAGGGTAAGCGTCTCTATCTGAGAGCGTCCTGCGTGTGTGCTGATGGCAGGCGACAGTCAGCTTCAACGCGTTCTTCCCGCATGACCCGGCGACGAACTCCCACGTGGATGTGCAAGACGATCACTTCAAGGTTGTTCGCCAGATCGGCGCCGCCGGTACTGTCCTCTTGAAGAACAACGGCGTGCTTCCCCTTAGTTCCCCGCGATCCATCGCTCTCATCGGTGCGTGTACTTCCCAACGTTTCTGCTCCCGATATGTGTTGACTTCGCTGGACGCGAATAAGGTAATGATGCCGGCCCCTCGAGTCGTGGTCCGAATGGCTACAGTGATCGCGGTGGCGACGACGGCACGCTGGCCATGGGATGGGGCTCGGGCACGACCGACTTCCCGTACCTCATCACCCCCTTGGAAGCCATCCAGCAGCGCGCGCGCCAGGACCGCTCCAGCGTCACCTGGTTCCTAAACAACTGGGATCTCGCGGGTGCCGCGGCCGCGGTGACCGACCAGGAGGTCGCGCTCGTGTTCGTGAACGCGGACTCGGGCGAGGACTACATCACCGTCGACGGCAACGAGGGCGACCGCAAGAACCTCACGCTCTGGGGCAACGGCGAGAAGCTCATCAACGCCGTCGCGGCCGTGCACCCGAACGTCGTCGTTGTCGCGCACTCGGTCGGGCCGTCGATCGTCGAGGCGTGGATCGAGAACCCGAACGTGACCGCGGTGCTCTGGGCGCACCTTCCCGGGCAGGAGTCGGGCAACTCGCTCGTCGACGTGCTGTACGGCGCGGTGAACCCGTCGGGCCGCCTCCCGTACACGATCGCAAAGAGCCTCGCGGACTACCCCGCCCAGCTCATCACGGGCGGCACGGGCAACCAGTTCCTCCGGATCGACTACGACGAGGGCCTGCTCATCGACTACCGGCACTTCGACGCGGTACGTCCCCTCCCCTCTTCATCTGCTCCTCGAGTCGTTCTCCTTGATGCCCCAGCGCTGACGTCACTCCACCCCACACGCACACACAGAACAACATCGAGCCGCGCTTCCCGTTCGGCTTCGGGCTCTCGTACACGACGTTCGCGTACTCGGGTGTGCAGGTGCGCGCGGTGCACCACGCGGACCGCACCTCCGCCGCGCTCGAGGCCGCGTGGGCTCAGGGCAAGGCGTCGCCCAACGTCGATGGCGGCTCGACCGCGCTCTGGCTGCACCGCCCCGCGTTTGAGGTCTCGTTCGAGGTGAAGAACACGGGCAAGGTCGCCGGCACCGAGGTGCGTCCCCCTCCTCTCCTTTCCTTCTCTTTGCGTTCGCGGCGCTGATCAGCTTATCTCTTCCCTCCCCCCCTCCCTCCACACACCTTTTTTTGCTGCGCCTGCAGATCGCGCAACTGTACCTGCACTTCCCTGCAGCCGCGGGCGAGCCCCCGAGCGTGCTCCGCGGGTTCACGGACGTGCTCCTCAAGCCGCACGCGTCTCAGCGCGTGACGCTCGCGCTCTCGCGCTACGACCTGAGCGTGTGGGACGCAGCCGCGCAGGGCTGGCGCAAGCCCGCCGGCGCGTTCACGTTCTCCGTGGGCGCGAGCAGCCGCGACTTGAAGCTCACGGGGACCATCCCGGTGTAGAATTGACGGCGATGATTCTCGAGGAGGATATGTGTCAAAAACGAAGAATGACCACGTGTGGAGGACGAGGATGGTCATGAAAAGATGGGAGCATCTAGGACTCGGTTTAATGCTCGCTGTTGCTCAATCTTTTGCGAACTGTCGTTACCGCCTGGATTTTTGCTGTGCTGTTAGCCTTGCTTTGACAATAGTTACCGAACAATTACATGACAGCCGCTGCTGAACGCGTCGGGAGACATGCGGTCACACTAACAATATTGACAGATGAATCCAGAGTCTAAATTTAATGCGTGCCATGTGGGATAAGACCGTCCAGTTCCTCTTGATGCGTTCGAGTTTCAAGCTCAAATATCATGATAGACGTACGACTACGTATGTAGTGTCTCAACTTCGGACTCCCAAAATCATGGAGAGGGATGACTGTAGGCACGATACGTGGAAAGGCGAAAAAAATACACTGAGCGGGAGTCGAACCCACGCCGCTTGCTTAGCGACCGCCCGATGGGCAGATGCAGATGGAAGGCAAGCATGATACCGTTTCACCATCAGTGTATGAGACAAACCAACATTGTTGTCTACAGTAGCCCATTTTGAACGTTACATGACAGCAGGCCGGGCCGCAGACTCAGGAGGAGAAGTTGGGGGAGAAGAGAGTCCTCCGAAGACATACTATGGTACAAAGTAGTGAGAGCTGCGTGGACATGCCAGCTGGGTATCCTTCCCTTCTTTTTCTCCTACCGTCTCCGGTCTCAAGAGCTCACGATGTTGACCGCGCTCATGTGCGCAATCAGATCGCGAATACGGCCATTGCGGGGACGGAACGCGCACGTGAACGCCTTCGGATGGCTGCATGCGGGACGGAGCAGATTTACACAGTTAGCACTTAGCAGTCAGAAGGCACGCGCGTGTGGGGATGGCGATGGCCAGGAGACGGCGCGCACCTGACGAAGCCGGAGATGAAGGACGCGTCCGGGACGAGGTCCCGCCCGAACTCGTCCTGCGCATAGGAGAGGTCCATCGTCGCGAGGATGTTCGCGGCGGCGAGCCACATGGTTGCGTCGGCGAAGATCTGGCCCGGGCAGGCCCTGGAGCACAGGCGCGAGGCGGCCATGAGCATGGGAGCGGCGCGGGAGCAGTGCTAGGGGCTGCACTCACCGTCGTCCGAACCCGAACACGAGGTTGCGCGGATCCGTCCGCTCGGCGTCCGCCGCGGAGAGGCCCATGAAGCGGTCGGGGTTAAACAGTTGGGGGTCGGGGTAGACGTCCGGGTCTTGCGTCATCCACCTGCCAACGCAAGGCGCCGCTCGTGAGCTCGGGAAAAGGTTTCGAGGAGATGGAGGAGACGATTGGGCCTGACGCACCAGACGTTGGGAATGATCATCGCACCCTCGGGGATACCGTACCCGCGGTAGACGTCATCCGAGCTCGCTCGGTGCGGGACGCCTGCAAGTGTTGTCCGCCCATGTCAGCGTACAGCAAGAATGATAGGGCGGACGCTCAGGAGGATAAACTGACCGAGCGGTACCGGAGCGTTCCACCTGGGCCAGGCGACGTCAGCGCAGTCCATCGATGAGAGTAGAGAGTCGAGAATTGAATAGAGCATCAAGCCGCGAGCGGTGAACCGGTGACGGACGGCCGGCTCGGCTAGACACCTGCGCCAACAAGAGACAACGACAACAACGTACCTGAGCACTTCTTTCAGCACACAGTCCAAGTAAGGAAGCTGGTCCCGATCTTCAAAATCGGGTAGTCGCTCCGGACCGACTACGCGGTCGATCTCGTCCTGCGCCTTCTTGTACACGGCCGGATGGAGGACCATGGCGAGCACGAAGGTCTTCATCGCGGTGACCGTCTGCGTGGGGGTATTCAGAACACGCGGCTCGCACGGTTGACAATAATTGTGCGCAAAGAACATACAGTATCTGTCCCGGCTGAGGGTAGGTTGTGAGCGTGCTAGGAGCGCTGGAAGAGGCGGGAAGACGCACCGGCATAAATGACGCCCGCAGCGCCCTTGATGTCTTCCAAGTGCTCTGCACTCGTCTTTCCCTCGGCGACAGATTCTTCGAGAAGGGTAGCGGTGAAAGAGGGCGCCGCCGTGCCCGCTCGCTGACCCGCCCGTTAGCGGTGCATCTACGACGAGCGCGGATTTATGCACTTACCAGCGCGCGCTGCACCATCGCAAACGGGGTGTCCAGAGTCTGCCGCACGAGGCTCTTGACGTACGCGGCCTGCCGTTTGAAGCCCGAGCCTGGCATCCACAGAGGCATGTGTCGCACTGCGTCAACGGAAGGCGAGAGAAGGGCTGTCAGCGATTGTCATGGCGCCGGCGGGTGCGGTGGCGGGTGGGACGCACAGATGGGGAAGAAATCGACAAGCATGGAACCGGGGCTCCCTCCCAGGACCGTCTCTACCGTCGTACGTTCGGCTAGCTCGACGAGGCGGTCGTTGAGAGACGTTACGCGGTACCCGTAGGCAATCTCCAGTATAATGGCCCCAGCCCAGCTGCGGACGTCGGTGAGCGGAGCGTGAACGGGGTCGGCGACGGATGGTATGCTGGGAAACGCACCGCTTGATGTGGTCCATGAAGAGCTCCGGGCTGTCGCATAGCCCAGACAAAAGGACGTACGTTTCTCGCCGCTGGATCGGGCGGTAGCTCGCGAGCACGGGCTTAGACGCGAACGCGTCCTGGAGCCACTTGCGGTGTTTGCGGAAGCGCTCACCGTACGGTAGGTTGTTGAGCACGCTGTCCCAGCCCATGCTGCCCGACCGCCGTCAGCACGCGACACGGCATGCGCAGAATCAGAAACGTTGGCCGTCGCGCTTACTTACAGCTCTTTGATGAGAAGGAAGCGGGGGCGGTCCGAGTACTTGGCGCTCCGCTTTTCCATCAGCTCGACGGCAGCCTCTCTGGAGTTGAGGATGACGGCCGGTGTGCGGAAGAACCTCGCGAAGACGACGTCGCCTGCGAGGAGAGAGTCCACGTCAGTTAGGGTAATTAAGAAGGCGTCGAGAGAGAGCCGCACCGTATTGTCTGCCCCACTCTGCAAATTGGCGCTGCTGATAGTCCATAGGGAGCTGATGTACGTTCCCGAGAAGCGGTAACGGGGTCGGACCCGGTGGATATCGGAACTTGACGCTGTTGCGATACCGGACGTATGCGCCTAGGACGACCAAGGCGATCAGGACCACAGAGGGCGCCGAGGAGGTGATGAATGCCAGCTGCGACCAGACAGCCATCACGAAGGATACAGATCAGAGGAGAGGTCAGTGGTTGGGGCGAGGTGGTTCTGGGAAGACGTGGTTTATAAGTAGCTCGGCTGTATGGGACGTCATTTCAAGCTGAGAGTGGAATCAGTGAATGGACTGCACGGCGGGGACGCGGGCGCAAGGTGAATTGTTCTCAGAAGGCCGAGTTTTCTGAGTTGACAATCAGCAGTCCGCCGTCACGGAGGAGTTCAACTCAGATAGACGCCAACATGGTCTTTATTATCCCTGACGCCGAGCTGATGATGCGCAGGATACACTGCGCATCAACGCACTGTGTGGCGGGGTTAGCAGATGGGGTTCTGAGTGCGAAAAGTTTATATACGCTTGCGAACACATCGGGAGCGCAGTGGGCAACGGCCAGACGTGGCTAGGCAGGCGACGCCATTTCCCTTGGAGCGCCGACCCAAACGGATCCAGTGTAGCTCGGCTCCACGTGTGACAGACTGTCGCCGGAGTCGGACTTTGCGTAGTGTGTACGCGAGGAGGGATTATGACCGGAGGAGTGAACTGGTGACCCGCGCGCGGGCGACGATAGAAGCTTGGGAATTCCCACTTGCGCCATTCATGAGTGATACGCGGACGGGTGCTGGACTCTATATGTCATATCTGCGTAGAAACGTCGTGCATTCGAGTCCCGTTCTCCATGTGGATAACAGGAAGGGGGTGCGCCGGCGGGTGGCTACGCGGGCGTGACGTCCCTGCGCGCAGATTCAGTCAGCAATCCATTTATCGCGGATGTAATAGCAGGAGATATCACTCACATGTAGCTAGAGGAAACCACCCCCGGTGCGTGTTACGTGCACGGAAGACCAACAGCCCCTGACAGCGATGACAACATTGCGAAGGGAGCAGCGATGCATGGACGACAATCAAAGCATCTCAGATAACATCGTATCGAGATCGTAAGATGATCAAGCTGTCAATCCTGTTTATCTGCGTGTTGCAGTTCGTCGAAGACGTGAGTTTGGAGGAAGGGAGAATTGACCGAAGAGCGCTCACCTCGCTACCTAACGCGTCAAATTCACCGGGCGCTTGGGGAGACAATGTGTCACCCTTCAGCAGCGCTGAAGGTGCATGCAGTCCGCAGTGAAGAGACTAGGGGTGGCCAGAAGAACTAGGCGTGTGCCCCAGGGCCGGTGTTTGAGTGGCATGACCGCAGGTATTAGTTGTTACGAACGACCGCCGAGAATCGGGGGTCGAAATGCGGGTGGCAACTGTCGTAATATCTGAAGAAATGAGAGCGCAGAGCGGCGGCGGTCAGAACAGGCATCGCTCGAGGCGTACGCAGCCATATTCGGGTCAGATCGTCCACGCACCTGTAGGACTTAAGTCACCATTTATGTCCGGGCGAAACTTCCGAGACCCAGACGGGAGCAGCGAGGAATGAACAGTGGCTGATGAGCCCGGAGTAAATGGAGTAATGAAGCCCGTACCTGTGCTGCTAGCCAAGCAAATCGCTGCCGCTGCTGTCGGACAACGTTCCGTACAAGCCTCCACGAAGATTTAGACTGCATAGCGCTCCAGTTCGTTCCAAGGAAGCTGTCAGGGAGGCGCTACCTCAGCACCATAGTTCGCGCGTCCGTTCCCGTAGTCCGGCCTCCGAGAGCCACCACGTTCAAGCACCGAAACACCGTTCGACACAGATAGGAGGACCGGTATATCAGCCCGACTTGAATGGGTGCTTTTTGTATGTGGTACCGGGTGGAGTAGCTGGAGATTCAACATGGACTTCTTGCGGTCTCGGTGGGAGTGTAGCTGGCCGCATGAGGATACTGACAAGCACACACATGAGCAGATGCATGCCGAAGCTGCCGTGCACTGGTATTGATCCTGCCTGGTGACCCCGGTCAAAGTGCTCGAATTTCGGCCACTCATCATCCGAGAGTTTCGGGGTTCAAGTTGTCGCTCTAGGAATAGTATGAACAAGAATTAGCGCACGAGTCACGATATTGAGCTGTCCAAGTCTTCGCATATAGTACCATATGCATTCACGTGAACAATAGCTCGTGCCCTTCGGGAGAACTTGAGACGGTTGGACGATACAGTCACTGGGCCGCGCAAGTCGCAAAGACATGCAGGAGAAACCCAAATTCCCACGCCACCGTCTCCTCGGAACAATCCGCACATCGTCCAGCTCAGCATCGTGAACAGTGAACTCAGAACTGTCGCGTATACTGCCAACTGCTTACTCCTTTCTCCTTTCTTCCGTTCTCGCGTCCCGACGGCGACACTTGGAGCTCGGGCTTTGCACTGGAACATACCACTCAATCTCACGAAACCTCTTG